CTCGAAACAGTACATACTGGCCGTTACGAGATGGTCCATTTGCATTTGCATTTGCATGATAAGCTCTTGAGTGCTCGCTTGATCCTGATTAGGGGCCTCCAAAGCAATGTCTCCGACTAAACTTTCAGACATTCGATCTGTAATCAATAGAGAGTATCATGCCCATAAACTTTAAGACATTCCAGTTTAGGAGCTTGAATGTTTAGACAGTGGATGCCCTCAAAATAAGTTAATATCAAAATAGTCAGTATGGGGCAGCACAAGATCAGATTTTCAATATCCCCGTCTGTGGAGCAGAAAATTTTCAGGCTGAGGTAAGTTAGGCTCTATAAACCTTCAAATGCCGGGGCAGGCTGATAGTGCAGTTTTTCAGGCGCAGACACTTCAGATAGGCAATAGAAAAGAGGCATGAGGGAATCCTATACCTTGGCCCTGAGTTCAACTTGATTATAACTGATCTTGGTGATCTCCTTGACAGCATGAGCATCCACCTAGCAAATTCATCATGGTAACTTCCTTTACCTGATATATCAAACTTTTCTATGGTTCCCTTGTGGAGTGATAGCACCGTATCGACCAACGTAACAAACTTTGTTTGTGCAAAATTTCCATCGCGCAGAATTATTTTTGGCATATAAGTCCATGCATCCTTCCAAGTACTTGATAGGGTGCTAGTTCTAACCGCTTCTTCGACATTCAAATGGAGAGGATGTCGCCCTTTATCTCTGGAGGTAGACTGCTAATTCTGTCTGAACTCACGACAGATGTAGCTTCCTCCCTGGCCTTTTTACATGCACTCATTGCTTCAGAATCCAGGTCAAACTTGTTAGAAGTATAAACGTGTTAGTTACGGATTAGGAGAGATAGAGATAGATTTGGTTTAAACCAACAATGACTTGCCTTGTACTCCAATCTTCTCCCTCACATGTACTCCTATATATACCCTACACAAGGGTCAGATCAATACAACGAATATTGTATTAGATCAAAGATGATGAGATCGGTTCCTTAGTTAGATTAGATCAATTTCTCAATTTTCCAAATTCTGTTAGGTTAGTTCTTCTTTAGACACAAATAAATCTGAAGCCCTATTATCTCCTGAAAGATCACAGCAAAGCGGTGGAGAGATCGGTTCCAAAAATCTCCTCCAAATCCAGTGCGTGGTGCTGCACTGCCGGCGTACAGGTCTGATCTGCTTCGTCAACACGCAGCATCCGCCTGGCGGGTCTTCGCCGCGCATCTCCGCCGGTGCGTCCACGACCGGCGCCTCTGAACAAGCCAGCACACGCAACACCGGCGCGACCGTGATCCACAGGTTTCAAGCCGGGCGCTGGCGGTCCAGGAGCAGGCGCTTTCATGGCCGGGCGCTGGAGCAGCCGGTCGATGCAAAACGCTCGGCAGGCGCAGCCCATGCAGGCCGGTGGAGCGGCGCCACCAAACAGCGTCCAGATGCCCTCGACACCAATCAGCGTCCTGATGCCCTTCCATCAGGCGGAGATGCGACGCCGGCGAGCAGCAGCGAAGGACACACGGACGTCCGATCACGGGAGGGCATAGCTCCCGCACAGATCTCTTTTGCGGCCGCGGAACTCCGACGTGGGCGGACGACTTCAGTCGTGGGCGTAGAAGACCGAGCAACCAATTCCCGTTCAATCTGGTGGGCATCGACTTCGTCAACTCCAGCAAGCAGATCGTGGGTCACGTAACCACGTCCCATATGTCCATATGTGACCATGATCTCCAGAGCCACATCCTAGAGCTTCAGCGATACATAACAGGTCTGCTCGACTCCAGCCTTCGCGGGACATGAGCAACGACGCGCACGACCTGCCTTATCTACACCGAGCCGCCGACCTGCACCCGCACCGAGGACGATCCACTCTTTCACCGACCCGAGCTACATCATCCTCTGCATCGCTGTATCGACTGCCGTCGCCGATCTGTACTGCGTGGCTACACCGACGCCTCTGCATCGAGCCGAACGATGTCAAGCTGTACGACTATGCCAAGCTACGAGCCAACATACTTCTTTGGCATCGACACTTCGTCGACACGCCGCTGCGATGCCATAGCCGACACTTCATCGCCATGGTCTTCACCAACGTGGTCTTCACCAACATGGTCTTCACCAGCACACCACTGCCGCCTCGTCCACAAGATGGACACCTAGCGTCCCTGACAGACTTTTCTGCAAGACGCGACCACGATGACGGCAATGACCGCATCACGACGACGGCATTGACCGCGTCATCCACGATGGCACAACTGCATCGACACGGCGTCACTATAGTGACGACCCCTTCAAGGCCACACGGTTCTGGCAAAACCGATGTGTGCTCGATGGGCTTCCTCCGGTCTTGGCAAAACCGGCGGACTCGTCGCCGACGGCACCCTCTGACATCCGCAAGGTGCATCGTCCACGTCTGTAGCTCCGTCATAGCGTATTTTTTGCGCCTCCGGCTTTGTGCAGCTTCATCATCCACGACGACCACACCATCGACCATGAGTACCTCGACCACGGCTACATCACCATGATCGGCTACCTCGACATTAATGGCTATCTATAGCAACTCATCGGTAACAACTTCAGTCAACAGCGTCCGCCTCGTCACTTGCGTCCACGACACTCCCGTTGTGACTGCGGGAGGGAATAGAGGAGAAGACAGGGAAGGCACCGAAGGGGACACAGTCACCGCCCTAGGTGCCGACCCATCAGCCATCAAGGACGCAGTTGATGATGGTGCAGCGGAGAAGATGACAAAAGCGCAAGACTTCAAATTCAGTCGCAATCGTCCGCTTCACTCATGCTACGACTGAGGGGGAATGTTAGAAGTATAAACGTGTTAGTTACGGATTAGGAGAGATAGAGATAGATTTGGTTTAAACCAACAATGACTTGCCTTGTACTCCAATCTTCTCCCTCACATGTACTCCTATATATACCCTACACAAGGGTCAGATCAATACAACGAATATTGTAGGTTCTATATTCTCAACAAAACTGTCCTAGCATTTCCATAAGGCGTGGAGCCTGAATTAGCGTGGATTCTACCACATATAACTGAAAATACAATACATGCAGAAATTAAATGGTGCACTAAGTAAGTTGCTTGTTCATAGCAAAACAAAAAATAAGCAACAACCAAGGTACGGCAGTAAACATGCTTGGCATGTTTCTATAAACAGAACTGAACTAGACCACTCCGTTGGTAAGGTGAAAAGCTTGATTATCATTTGAGATCTTGAAGAGCAACCATGTGTGGTCATGCTGCAGGTTGGAAATGGGTTTCTTTTGTTGAATACATGTGCCATCATTTGAAGAAAAGGTGATTAAAATATGAAAAGGAAAACTTTGTCCTCCAAATATAATTGGACAAACAATTTAGGGTACATAATTGAGATGTTGTCAACGTGGGCAAATGATGAAATGCAAACATGTGTACTGTAGTAAGTACTAGGGTAGGTTCCAATTGACAATTGAGTGATCTTTTCTTAGCGAATGAAATATGCTAGGAAAATATCAATTCTGCGAAATTAACAGTTTAACACTGGATAGCTAGATAAAAAATAAATTGAGCATTGTAAGTAACAGGGTACTAAACTGCAACTGAATCTAGGCAAGCATGCGCACAACTGAGTCACAAACTCACAATCAAGCATGCGCATGGCCGATCTTTCAATGATTCATGGATCCACCGCAAACATTTCTCGAACTTCAAATATATGGGAGCAGAAAGCAAAAGGAACCTACGGAATGTGTTTGAACTTGAAAGTTTGTAAGGCAATAGAACATGGCTCTCTTAACATCCCGTAATATTTTGAGATTTTTTCGATACTTCAAAACATCATTTTCACATGGTTTTCATCGGTTTCCACCGAATGTTAGTTTTCATATGATATTTTCCCTATGGTTAATTAATATGGATGGATCGGAGAGAGTAGTAAAAAAAATTTCCTACCCCTAAAAAAAAGTATTTTTTCCTCAAAAGATATACATTTGTCTTTGACCAAAAGCAATGTGTATTCAAATGACATTGAATACACAACGTTTGGGGACATCCAGGGGAGGGAAGGCAAATCCCAAATGGTCTGCTACTCGCCACACGCGGGCCGTCGTACACCATTCAAAAATGGTTTGGTATTTAGAAGAAATCGATTTTGAAATTATATAAACTTCTTTTCAAAAATGTGATTTCAAAAAGTTTGGATGTTTGAAAAATGTTTGCAAATTCAGAAAATGTTCTTCAATTTGGAAATGTTGGTGATTTCAAAACAATGTTCTTCAACTCAAAAAACTATTTGCCAATTCAAAAAATCATGAATTTGAAAAATTTTCCTGGATTAAAAATAGATTCCAAGAGCAAGTTTTATCAACAACTGAACAAATACCTCCTAATTATATGAATTGTTTTCAGGTAAGAACTGGATCATACTCACCTCAGTGAATAATTTTGACGTAAACAATAGCTGAATATTAAAAGCTGATGTAGAAATATCACTTATAAACAAAAAATAAAATAGGAGATGTAAACCAATCCGATAAAAGTTTTGATTTCCGAAAATGTCTACACTGATTCAGGCATGGGTTGCTTTGGTCTCATTACTTCAGGCTTCATATGTCTACACATGCAAAATTATGATATGACCATACAATTTGATGCCTTTGATTCACATATTTGCTAAAACCATGAACCTACCATACACAGAACACAGGGACGAAACATGAAGACCTGAACTGGCGCCGTTGAGGAAGGGCTGCGGCGTGTGGGTCCCCAGTGCATGGAGGAACAGCAGTGGCAGCTTGAGTGCGTGGGTTGCAGAATGGAATGGAGTGTTTCATATCGAGAACGCTTGCTGATACCACATCAAGTATTCCCACCGAATTTCCTCAACAAAATCCACCACATGCTAGTCCTAGATGGTACACTCACATAAACAAAGCCAAGATAGTTCTACCCAGCAGCAAATTACATCGGCAAACGGTTGTGGGAGCAAGCTTATCAAAATGTGACAATGACCTTGGCCCTGGTAGACGCCCTCGGTAGAGCTAATAGCTTGGCAAGAACCATGCTACAGTCCTTTTCACCCTTCCAGTCTATCTTCAGTTCTTCTAAAGCTGGTGCCCAGCTTAGTAGCTTTGCCACGAAATCAACTTCGAAGTCCAGACCCCCGAAATGGTTCACACTGGCCATTACGAGATGGTCCATTTGCAATTGCAGGTTAAGTCCTTGAATGCCCACCTGATCCTCACCCTGACCAAGGATGCTCCAAGGAAAACTCTGCATTTTTTTTCATAACTCGTTAGCCATAAACACAACGAACGAACATGGATCAGGTGATCGAGCAAGGGGGAAGAGTTTACTGGAGGCATACTTACCGACACCTCAAGCTTCTTTAAGTTAGGGGCATTCTGAAACAGTGAACATGCAGTCAAGACTTGCCGCTGATCCCACAAGCATATCATAAGACAAACACTCTCCAGGTGAGTAAACACGGCAGGGAGCTTTGTATGTATGCATCCTTTTGATAGATACTGCAACAAAATAATAATAATAATAATAATAATAATAATAGTAATAATAATAATAATAATAATAATAATAATAATAATAATAATAATAATAATAATAATAATAATAGATGTCAACACAGATTAGTCAGAGGCAGAAGAAGGCCATAGTAATGCTGGAGATAATAATAGCTCACCTTCAGGAAAAAACCATTAATTCTAAGTGTTTCGATGACACTTAGGCTACCCAATGACTGCTTGACATAGCTTTCCTTGTCATGCGCAATTGGAACAGATTGATACGCTTTATCAAGAGAGAGAAAGGCCACCTCCAGATTAGGTGCGTCCAACTTAATGTCCTCAAAATCTCCTTCAGCATAAAGATAATCCAGTTTAGGAGCCTTAATGTTTAGACGTTTGATGCCCTCAAAAGAATCTAATATCAAATCAGTCAGTGCGGGGCAGAACGAGATCAAATTTTGGATATCCTTGTCTGTGGAGGAGAAGATTTTCAGGGTGAGGTCCGTAAGGCTCTTGAAACCTTGGAATGCCCGGGGCAAGCTGATGATGCAGTTTTCTAGGTGCAGATGCTCCAGATCACCGATAGAAAAGAGGCACGAGGGAATCTTATACCTTGGCCCCGAGTTCAACTTGATTATAACTGATTTTGGTGATCTCCTTGACAGCATGATCATCCACCTACCAAACTCATCATGGTAATTTTTGTTACCTGAAATTTCAAACTCCTCTATTGTTCCCTTGTGGAGTAATAGCACCATATCGACTAACGTAACGAACTTGGTTCTTGTAAGATTTCCATCACACAGAGATATTACTGGCATATCAGTCCATGCATCCCTCCAAGTACTTGATAAGGTGCTAGTCCTAACCGCTTCTTCAACATTCAAACAGGAGAGGATTTCGCCCTTTATCTCTGGAGGTAGACTGCTCAGTCTGTCTGAACTCACAATAGATGTAACTTCCGCCCTGGCCTTTTCACAGGTACTCATTGCTTCAGAATCCAGATCAAACTGTCTTAGCATTCGCATAAGACAATGAGCCAACATTAGCGTGCAGTCTACCACATATATCACTAAAAATACAATACATGCAGAAATTAAACGGTGCACAAAGTAAGTTGCCTGTTCATAGCAAAACGGAAAATAAGCAACAATAGAGAGATGGCAGTTTAGGGAAACAACTCTGGTATGCTTATATTAACAGAACTGAACTCGACTATTGCGTTGGTAAGGTGAAAAACTTGATTATCATTTGACATGTGTTACAGGACCCTAATTTGTGATCTTGAAGAGAAACCATGTGCCATCATTTGAAGAAGGGGTGATTAAAATAGGAAGAAAAAGAACTTGTCCTGCAAAATACCGGTTGGACAAACAATTTAAGGTGTACTTGAGCACCAACAGCACAGAGAGTCAATTTAAGCCACAAACAGGCCCTCATTTCTTAACCTAGATGTGGACTTGCACTCAAATTATTCAGGAGCAACACGTGTTCAGTTCCAACATTCACTCTAAGCATGATATCGATCGACATGTACTAACGTAAATCCGTGTACTAAATAAGGTTCCAACTGAAAATTAACCAATATTTCTCGGCGAATGAAATATGCTAGGAAAATATTTGGTCTGCGAAATTAGCACTGCAGAGCTAGAGAGAGAAAAAAAAAGCAATGTAAATAACAGGGTACTAAACTAGTAGATTCAGTGGAGCATGTGAATAAGACACCGCAAACAAGGATGCATGGCTGATCTTTCAATAATTGACGAATCCACCGCAAACAGGTCTCGAATTTCAAATACGTAGTAAGAATGTACGGACAGGGACCAAAACGAACCTACGGAGTGGCTCGGTTGCTGCAGTAGCGCCGGAGAACGACGCCGCTCGCCCGCTGCGGCCTTGGGCGCTGCCAGCGAGACGGAGCGCAGAGGCCAGAGGTGCAAGGAACGAAGGCAGGACGCCGGATGCCTACGCCGCCGCCGCCGTACCGTGTCTAGGGTTGGAATTTAGCGGGCGAAACGCCGAAGTGGTCTGCGACTCGTCCTCTCTGCGCTGTGGCGATGGGGGCATTTCAGAATCGGGCCGCTGGGCCATATCGGAGTAGGGAGGTACGGATGGGCTAGTAATTTTTTTCCCACAAAATATATTACTTACATTTGTTTTTGACAAAAATAGTGTGTATTCCACTGACATTGAATACACAATGTTTTTGCCTGCAAAAAAATATATAATACACAACGTTTCCTTCGCCGCGCGCCGCTCCTCCCCCACCCCCCGCGCCGCTGGCCACCCCGGTCGCGACGGCCACCCACCACCTCCCACGCCACTTTAACTCCTCCCACCGCCCCTCCGGGCGCCCGCGGCAGCCCATGTCGGGCTGCTCCCCCGCGCAAGATCCTGCCTCGCTGGGCGCGAGCCTTTAGTGGAGCTCTCCGGATGGGGGAAGATCCTGGCCGAGCCCAGCGGTCCGTTGGAGGTGTCGGCGACCCCTTCGGCCATCCTCAGCGGTGCCGGCGACCCCCTCGGCTCCGTCGCCCCGGATTCTCAGGAGTCCGCCTAGCTCCCTACGCGGATCTGGTGACGCCGATGGTGCTGCGGCCTTCGGACCGATGGACAGCGCCACCCCCCTCCCTACGAGCGACCCCGGCCGCCTCAAGTCCATCGTGGTATGTGACACCCCCCACCCTTGCCAAATCCGGCCACCGACGCCATTGATGAGGGATGGACGATTTACAAATCCCGCAAGAGTAGGAAGGCCAGCTCCGATCCGGTGGCCTCTGGGATGCACATGTTGGGCAAGCGCCCTCATCCTCGCCGGGTAGCGACGCCTTTTTAAGCAAATTCAAAGGCCTCTGCCTTCATAGCCTCAGCACCCGCCATCGTAGAATCGACTGCAGAGACCCACTCTGTTACATTATCTGCAAGCTACAAGGCCACTATGGCCGTGAGTGCCTGCAAAATCCCGCAACAAGGGCAGGGGCAGCAGTGCTGCACACCGGCCCATCCACGAGCGCCTCACCTTTCTGTCGCCCACGCGCCAGTGGTCGGCGCTGCCGGTCGTTGACTGCGCGCCCATGGAGCCCGCGGCCCTCATCGACCACTCCCGCCGGACACACAACAAACACAAGGTCATCGCCTCCACCCCGGCGCTAGAGCACCAGGCGTTCCTGCTCCACCAGCATGCCGTGGTGGTCACGACGGTCGGCACCACTGCGCACGCGGCCAGCCCTCACTCCATTGGCCGCGCGCTGGAGAAGGAGTTCAAGATTCTGCCTCACCTGTTGCTCGTCACCAACCATGACCCCAAAGACTTTTTTGTCTTCTTCACCATGCCCGCCCACAAGGATCTCGTGGTGCAGTGCGGCTTGTTGTCTGTGGACGGCGTGCCGTTCCTGCTTGAGCCATGGCGGGAGGATGCCCACGCCGTTCACCTCAAGTGGATGCTGCATGTGCGCGTGGTCATTGAGAAGCTTGTCATGACCCTCTGGACGCTGGAGGGTGCGGAGGAGGCCATTGGGGACAAGGTGATCGTGGATCGCCTGGACAGCCGCACGCACGAGCACGCCGACACCAAGCTCTTCGTTGTTGGGTCTGGTGCTGGGACACCGCCCACATCCCAACCAGGCGCACCATCTGGAAGCATGCCGGGGGGCTGGCCGCATCGACGAGATGCTGGGCTACTCTCCTCCGAGGCGCGCGGTGGGGCCTCCCCCCGAGCTCCTGCAGTACTGATACGTTTCCAACGTATCTATAATTTATGAAGTATTCATGCCATTATATTATCATTCTTGGATGTTTTACAATCATTTTGTACCAACTTTATATTGTTATTGGATTGAATACTTTTATGAATTTTAGAACACTTGATATATATCTTACAATTGAATACTCTTGGTGACAATGGGGTATCGTATTGATTCACTTGATATATGTTTTGTCACTCAACTCGCGGATTCCCGAGGTGACATTGGGGTAATCTATGCATAGGGGTTGATGAACGTTCTTGTCTTTATTTCTCCGGATCCGGTAGAAATCTTGGGGCACTCTTTGAAGTTCTTTGTGTTGGATTGAGTATTATGAATATGAATTTGCTTTGGTGTTATTTTAGTATGAACTCTAGGATAGATCAAACGGAAAGAATAGCTTTGTGTTATTTTAGTACGAACTCTTGAAACAGATTGAACGGAAAGAATAGCTTTGAGGTGGTTACGTACCCTACAAACAATTATTCTTATGTTCTCTGCTAGATAAAAACTTTGGACCGATTCTTCATCGCACTTTGAGGGATGGTTGTATGATCCAACTATGTTAGCATTGTTGAGAGATTGCACTAGTGAAAGTATGCACCCTAGGCCTCATTTTCAAGCATTGCAATACCGTTTTTGTGCCCGTTTACTATTTGCTACCTTGCTGTTTTTATTTATTCAGATTATAAAAATATATTTCTATCATCCATATTACACTTTTATCATCATCTCTTCGCCGAACTAGTGCACCTATACAATTTGCCATTGTATTAGGTGTGTTGGGGACACAAGAGAATTCTTGTATTTGGTTGCAGGGTCGTTTGAGAGAGACCATCTTCATCCTACACCTCTCACGGATTGATAAACCTTAGGTAATCCACTTGAGGAAAAATTGCTACTGTCATACAAAACTCTGCGCTTGGAGGCCCAACACGTGTCTACAAGAATAAAGTTGCGTAGTAGACATCAAGCTCTTTTCCGGCGCCGTTGCCGAGGAGGTGAGTGCTTGAAGATATATCTTTAGATCTTGCAATTGAATCTTTTAGCTTCTTGTTTTATCACTAGTTTGGTTTGTAAAAGAAAACTACAAAAAAATGGAATTGATGTTGCATCATATTACTGATCATCTTTATAATATATTTTTTGAAAATGATGGTTCCAAAAATTGTACTCAATTGATAGAAGAAGAATTTAATAAAATGATTGGCATGAATGATGAGCATGATGGCAATGTTGTTACTATTAATTCTTTGAATATCCATGATGTTAATGATATCAAAGCTACAAGCTTGGGGATGTTGTGTTTGACGAAGATGATATTTTTACTCCACCAAGTTTTGATGTGCAAATTTGTTATAATGGTAGCATGCCTCCTATTTATGATGACTATAATGATGAAAGTGGATTCAGAGAGGTCATGACTTTATTTAATGACGAATTCACCATTTTGGATGAGGCTTCAATTGACTATGAGAACAAGGTTGCTATCTATGATGATTATGGTGTTGACTTGTATGCTATAAAGAATAATGATAACCATGAAACTTGTCATCATGATTCTAATTTTCAATCACATGATAGTTATTTTGTTGAGTTTGCTCCCACCATTGTTGATGAGAATAAATTTGCCTATATGGAGAGTAACAAAAAAATTATGCATGTGGATCATGAAAAGAATGCTTTATGTGATGGCTATATTGTTGAATTCATTCATGATGCTACTGAAAATTATTATGAGAGAGGAACATATGCTTCTACATATTTCAATAATATCAAGTTTCCTCTCTTTATGTTGAAAGTTTTTAAGTTGCACTTGTTTTACCTTCCTATACTAGTTGATTATTGTTCCCATAAGTTGTTTGCTCACAAAATCCCTATGCATAGGAAGTGGGTTAGACTGAAATGTGCTATTCATATGCTTCATGATTCTCTCTTTATGTTTCAATCTTTATCCTTTATGCGAGCATCATTGAACTCATCATGCCTAGCTAAAAGGCATTAAAGAAAAGCGCTTGTTGGGAGACAACCCAACACTTTTACCAACTATTTTTGTGTGATTCACATGACTAGTCTACTGTAGTAATCATGTCTTGTTGCTTTTGTTTCAATAAAGTGCCAAGTAAAGCCTTTTGGATCATGTTGGGTGATAGTTGATTTGATCTTGCTGAAAAACAGAAACTTTTGCGCTCACGAAAACAACTCTCATTTTTAGCAGAAGAGTGCTTTTGAGCTGATTCTTTTTGCAGAAGATTAATATACAAATTTATCACGTGGTCACATTTTTGTCATAATTTTTGGAGTAG